ACTCTCAGTTGCAGCAGTAGTGGGTGATGGCACTGTAGCTGTCACGGCCTTCGTCGGGCCGCCGCAACGTCGATTTTGTTTTTGACCTTTCTCCCTCATCCGGACTCCAAATCAAGTGAGTTTTTTTTTAAAATTAATTAATTTTTCATTGTCTTCCCAGTGGTGTGCTCGATAGCACTTGAATCCATTTGTTTTTGCAAAATGACCATTTTGCCCCTAGGTTCCTTTTTGTCCGTTTTTGAAACGACTCTGCCGCATTGGTTTTCCTTTGGGTTCCATGACCTCATTGAGGGTCACATTGGTGTCTTAGAGACGCATTGTATCTCTAGAGACCGTTGTTTCACCTTTCGCTTCCGCATTTCGAATCTGTTATCGGGTCATCTTTTGGTCATCACTGACGCACTGGGTTTACAAAACTTGGGCCGTCACAACAACCTTGTTTGAAGCCTCAGCTTGACCATTCCCTTGAGCATAGTATGATGTTGAAGTTAACATTTTCACTTTCATATCACGGCCGAGTTGTAACACTTCTCCTGCTCGAAACATAGACCCATTATCGGCAACAATTGTTTCTAGTAAACCAAATCAGTGAAAGTTGTGTCGCTCCAAAAATTGTATCACAGTGTTGTGAGTTACCGAGGCATATTCCTCGGCCTCTACCTATTTGGTAAAATAATCAGTAGCTAAAATAATCCAATGATGACCCTTTGATGAAGGAGGATTAATCTTGTCGATTAAGTCCATGGCCCAACCTCTGAAAGGCCATGGTTTGACTAATAACTGCATCTCTGTTGCTGGAACCCACTGCATTGGGCCATGCTTTTGACAATCTGTACAACCCTTTGCATAGGTCATATAGTCTTTTCTCATTCCAGGCCAATAATATCCATATCGGCGTATCAACTACCTCATTTTTATGCCAGCTTGGTGAGCTCCACATATCCCTTCATGTGCCTCTGCCATAATCTTTAAACCTTCAAACTTGCTAATGCATTGAAATAGTAAACCATCATCAGCCGATCTTCTATAAAGATCTCCATCCATAAGTACATAATCGACTGCACTCCTTTTTATTCTTCGATCAGCTTCTGAAGTTGGATGTTGCAAGAACAAGATGTAAGGGATTCGCCAATCATCATCCTCTAACTCTGCAACATCAGTGGCAAAGACTTCTTTCATAACTTGATTTCTTATTTCAGCCAATGGAAGAGATCGAAGTGTGATTTTCATTATCCTTTCCTTCATACCATTCAGCACCCTTATTCCTGAAGCAGTCTGTGTTAAATCATTAGCTATTTTATTCATGGCCCTTGGTCTGTATTCCAAAGTCACATTGTGAAATTGGTTGACCAATTGGGTTATCAATGAATGAAACGGCCTTAATTGCCAATTCAAACATCTAAAGTCTTCTAAGATTTGATTAATCACCAAACTTGAATCCCCCACAATGTGGACATCTTTGACTGCCATTTTTAGTAGAATTTCCAAGCCGATAATCAATGCTCCATACTTAGCTTGATTATTTGAGCACCTGAAATCCAAAAAGAAGGAAAACAAAATTTGGTTCCCTGTTGGGGATATTATCACTATACCAGCTCCTGAGCCTTCGCTGCTACTTAACCCATCGAACATTAAAGTCCAAGGGGTCATGAATATGGCTGCCGAGTCAAGCTCATCAAACACTTGTGACTCAATTTCAGGTGAGGGATGATCGGCAAGAAAATCTGCTAATGCTCTCCCCTTAATTGCCTTTTGTGAAACATATTCAAAATTAAACTCCATTAGTGCCAAAGCCCACTTGCTGATCCGGCCTGTGATTAATGGCCTTGATAGCATATACTTCATAAGATCTGTTAGACAAACAATATAAACCAAAACAGGCAACATATAGACTCTTAATTTCATTGCTGCAAAATACAAAGCCAGACATAATTTCTCAATCGGCGTATATCTACACTCGACTGGAGTTAAAACTCGGTTGAGATAATATATTGCTTGTTCACTTCCTGCTTCGTTCTCTTGTGCCAGCATAGCTTCAATGGATTCTTCAATAGCCGATAAATATAACTTCATCGGCCACTTCTTCCTCGGTGGCATTATGACAAGACTTGACAAGTACTTCTTGATCTACTCAAATGCCCTTTGATGTGTATCATCCCATTTGAATTCTTCCACAGCTTCAACTTGAGTAACGGGGAAAACACATGTAACTTACCAGCTGTATTGGCAATAAATCGCATAAAATAGTTCACTTGCCAAGTAACCTCTGCAACTGTTTGTCGCTTCTCGGCTCACTAGCTTCAATAATTGCCTTAGCTTTATTCCTATCGGTCTCTATACCCCTTTGATGAACCAAGAAACCCAAAAAGTTTCCTGCCAATACTCCAAAGGCACACTTTATAAGATTCATCTTTAACTTATGAGCCCTCATCCTCTTAAAGGATGCTTTGAGATTAACCAAGTGCTCTTTTTTTGTTGTTGATTTCACTACCACATCATCAATTACACCTCCATAAACTTGCCGAGCATATCATGAAAGATAGAATTCATAGCTCGCTGATATGTAGCACCAGTATTCTTCAAACCAAAAGGCATTACAACCCACTCAAAAGTTCCAATCGATCCAGGACACCTAAAAGCTGTCTTTAGGATGTCCTCCTCGGTTATATAAATTTGATTGTAGCCTGAGTGTCCATCCATAAAAGACATAATTTTATGCTTGGCAGCCGCATCAATCAATTGATCAGCTATCGGCATTGGATACTTATCTTTTGGGGTTGCCAAGTTTATGTTTTGGAAATCAACACACACTCGTAATTTGCCATTTTTCTTAATAACAGGAACTACATTTGATAGCCACTTAACATATCTTGTAGTTCGAATGAAACCAGCATCCAACAATCATTCGATTTCCATCTTGACTTTATCTATTACCTCTTGAGACATTCGATGGGGTGGCTATTTATATGGCTTGTAGCCATCTTTAATGGGCAACCGATGTTCCACCAGATCTCTGGATAAACCTGGCATTTCCTCATAATTCCAAGCAAAACAGTCACTATATTCCTTTAACATGCCGATAACCTTGGCTTGTAATTCTGGTTCTAACAGTGCACTGATATAGGTTGGTCTAGGCTTTGCATCAGTGCCTAAATTCACCTCCTTTAATGGATCTTGAGTTTCTGCTTTAAGATCATCAAGCTTAGCTGGTGCCAATTCCAAGTCTTCTAACTGAATAGCATCCAACTTTTCATTATCGATTTGATCAACTTCAACAAAATTAGGCGATAGTCTTGGCTCTATTTTTGCTTTCTTTTCCAGTCATCTTTTGTCTATGTATGCTTGTAACCTAATGCAAGCGGCTTTAAAGGCCTGCTGCCGAATTGCTTCTCTTCTAAGTTTCGCTTCCATTAACAACTTCTTCTTTAATTATAGTAAGCTAAAGGAGTTCTACCTTCGACCTAGAATTTTCCTGCTGTAATTCATCGATTTCACGATAGGCAAGACTTCTTCTCATGGTTGCCGATGTAGGTCTTCCATTGGCCCCTGTTCCCACAAATCGAATGGGAACACACTATTCATCATACAAAATAGCATCTGCCGAGTATACTTTTGCCACAAATGGCTTATCATCGGCATTTAGTATCTTTACTTTATCTCTATCCCAAAATTTCAGCATCTGGTGTAACGATGATGGGATGCACATATTTGGATGAATCCAGTCATGGCCTAATAACAAATTATAGGAAGCCGTGGATTCAATAATAAAAAATGCCGCAAAAGATGTGCTTCCTCCAACTTCAACTTGTAAGGGAAGAATCCCTTTAGTGCTAGTAGATCCTCTATTAAACCCACAAATTGCTACATCAGTGGGAATAACATCTTTGATACTCTTGCCGAGTTTTTTTAGTGTGTTAGCTGGAATAACATTCAAAATCGAGCCATTGTCAACCAAGACTCGGTTAATAGGTTGGCCCTCTACCCATACCTTGATATACAAAGACCTTCGTTGTTAAGTCATCGCTAAAAAAGGTTTCTCAAAGACTACCTTTTCTACCGATTTTGAGGAAAGAATTAATAAATTCTGAATCGGCTGAGTTTCCTTCTCCTTATTTTCGGTACTTGCATTTGACGCCGATGGGCCTGGAACATTGCTAGTAATATAAATGCCATATTACGTGACATTTCATCTGGGAAACTACCAAACTGAATTTTGAACTCACTGTTACGTTTGGGCCATGTCAGCTGATGCTTCTCATCCAGTTGATCTTTATCTGGAATGCCGATTTCCTCAGCCAACTCTTCTTTACTTCCCTCCTCAACTTTCCTTTCTTTCTCAGCCCTTCCCCTTTGTTCCTTACGTTTCTGAGATCGAGTAAGGCCTCAACTCTAATTTGTTTGAACCTTGGGGAATTTTGGGTGGCTGACACGAGTCCATCTGTCTTCTGCTGAGTCTATCCTTGGTTTCACAGTTCGTACTTTATATGAATCAGCTCTTTTTGTACCCAACTTTTCGATTGAACTGGCGACCGCCTTTTAAAACCAGGATACCAATTTTGGGAATGAAATCGGCTAGATATATATACTTACCGCTTCTGCCTTTCTTCCTTCATATGCCTGCTGCTGGAATTATTTTGTCGATACTTCTCGCCAGGCTTAATTAGGAAAGTAAGCCTCTCAAGAATTCCTTTCTTCTTTGGTTGATATTCCATTAGCTTCTCTTCCTTAAATTTCTGCTTTCCTTTGCAATTTGGGTAACAACCTTGGTCTATCAGGGCCATTTGAGCCTCCCTTAATTGTTTATGCAGTTCTGCCATCTTTTCAGGTGTCGCATTTGATGAGAGGAATTCACCTGATGGCTTCTCAGCCTCCTACCGATTTTTTCGCTTGGCTAAGCTTATCACATTAGTAGATGCGATTGTAGGGAATGGATTAGTATCCACCTTCATGGTCTCTGAAGTTTTCTCCAAGAACTTCAAAGTACCTTCATCAATAAATTTCTACAATACACCTCGTAGAACAGTACAATCATTAGTAGCATGGTTCCAAGAGTTATGATACTTATAGTACTCTTTTCCTTTCAGATCACTTGCCGATGAAATCTTATGCCCCTTAGGCAAAGATATCAGTTTATCGGCCATCAAGTGATCAAAGATATGGTCTGTTTTTGACAAGTCAAAAGAATAGCTTTTCCCGGTATCGGCAGCTTCTTTTCTTATTGCCGATATTGATGTTAATGTTGCATTGCCCCCCGTAGTCAGCTTAGGTTTAACCAATGCCTCACAGATGTATGATTTCTTGATATTGACCTCTACAACATCAACTTCTAATTCATCTCCAACTTCTACCGAGAATACCTCATAATTAAGGTCCTTGTAATAAGTACACTTAGAAGAATTTTTCCTCTCTTTCTCTTCCTTAAGTATCTCCTCATACCGAGAAGCCCTATCTGCTAAATCGAAGAGGTCTTGAAACTCAACCCTATCAAACCTCTTGCAATGTTCAATGTTTAAACCATTTGATGCCAACTTGATATATTCTGGTTCTGGAAAACTTACTCGGCATTTGAGTTTAGCTTTTCTGAACCTTGTAATAAAAGTTTTAATTAATTCGCTCGGCAACTGAGATAAACGGGATATATCTTCCAGCGTAGCTTCTACCTCTGTTCGGTAGAATTGGGTATGGAAAGCTTCTTCCATCTTGTCCCATGTCTGAATAGAGTTGGCTGGTAAATTACTGTACCATTCAAATGCTGCCCCGGTAAAAGAGCTAAAGAATAACCTCATCCTCAACTAAGGACTAGGACCTGCTTCACCACATTGTGCTGTGAACCTTGTAATATGTTGTACCATAGAAAAATTCTCTTTACCACTGTACATAGAAAAATTGGGATACTGAAAATTTCTAGGCAACTCATGGGCATCGACATGATTATGATAAGGCTTTCTGTATACTGGCCAAGCTTGCCTGCGTCCCTGTGCAACTTCGGCCTGTATTAAAGCCAAAATCTGAGCTCTATCAATCCCCGCATTCTGACCTGGAGGATCATTTGGGTGAAGCGAAACAAATGGGTTAAACCACTCTTGTGGATTTGCATTTACTTGCCCCCCGGCAGCCGCTAGAGGTATCACTAGATTAGCCCTTCCTTGTTTTTGGTTGCCCACCACCTCTTGCTGATCCCTCACTAGAGGAATCAGCTGCACCTGTGGACGCTACACATTTTGATTATGTTGATTATTCACCGGTGGCTGATACACCGGCACAACAGTTATTACTCGCGGATCTGATAATATTAGTGGATTACCAATCGGCATGCCGAGAGTAGGATTTGGCACATTTTCGATTGTGATGCCGAGTGCCGTGCTTGGCGGAATGATACCTGTTGATGCTGTTCGAGGCCCTTGGGATATATGTATCAATGGTGCCGACATACGCTGAAATATGGATTCATTGGCATGAGACGCTTCGGCTTGGTCATGTTGATTCTGGTTAGCTGATATGCTAGTCTCAAGCTTCTAACTCATCTTCTCCATTTAAGCATACATCATTTGAATTAACTCCCCAGTCATTGACCTCATCTCATGTACTTGAGATACTAACACTTGATTTGATTCTCCCATTTGGGATCTTACCTCGCCGATCTGAGCTTGTTGGGCATCCATTTTCTGTACAATTAATTCCAATACCCAACCTAAAGGAGTGTCAAATGGAACTGATGAATCGGCATCATCTCCTATGCCGAGTAGCTAGTTCTCTTCGTCAGTATTTTCACCTGTAGTCACACCTTTTGAATTTCTTAGCTTGGGAGGCATATTTACTATAATTTATTCACCTGATGGGTCCCACCGGGCGTGCCAAAAATGTTGACGCTAAAATCGGCCGACTGGAGCCGATCTTAAATTGATGAAAAACAAGCGTGCCAGAACCAACTATATGGTTCAATTGTGGATAGTCAACTTGCAGTCTCTTTGAGAAATTGACTTTCAGGCGATTATAGGAGAAAGAGAATAAAAATACTCCTTAATGAGTTCTAATTGCCTTAGTTAAAAGGATTTTTTAATGAATAAATTATAGTAACTATCAAGAGAATAGAAAGGGGATGAAAATAGATATAGAAAGGAAAATAGAAATGGGAGAGAAATTGATATAGAAAGAATTGAGATTGAGAGGGAGAGAGATTGAGAGGGAATAAAAGAGATTGGGAGAGAGAGAAATTGCAAGGATGCTATTTTGGGAAAGATCTTGGGAAAGCAATAACAATAATTAAATGTTTCTGAGGGTGCTGGACCTCTAGTCTAGCATGCCTCTTTGATTATTTATAGAATAAATCGTAACAACTAAACCCTACATACAAGCATCATACTTGTAGTAAAATTCTAATGACAACCATGCGACAATTCAAATTAAATTAAATTAAACTATAAATAATCTTAATACTTAACTACACCTAAATAAAAGATAATACAATAATTACAAACTCTATCTATCATCTAATTTAAAATAAGCCTTTGCATGCAATTCGGATTCCATGTGAAGTTGTCAATATTTCCTTCAGTTAAAGCCGAACCATGTAGTTGGCCCATATACTCCATATACCCAGTCGGACCTCTGCTCACCAACCAAGCCATGCCACTATATATCTAGCCCAATTGTAATATTCTTCAGCATAATATTTGTACAGCCCAAGCTTCTAAAACATCATCATTCATGAGGCCTTACATTCTTAGCCCATATCACTATGTCACTGTTCACCAAGCCGAACTGGAGCCCAAACCCAATTACCAAAATGGGTGTCAACAGATGTAGAACTAATTATCGAAGTCTTTATGGCTCGGTTGAACCACTAATGGCAAAATGGGTATGCTGACAGATTTTCTGACTAATCTCGAAGTGTTCATTTTTTTACCTAATAGGATAGTTTTTTTTTACACTGGAAAAGGCCCAACAAGTAAGCCTCACAGCTTTGCCGTAATATACGCCATTTTTCAACAAAATACTATTGTTTAGGATATCAAAACAGGTTTTTGTGTCCTATATGAAGTTCGTTGTCTAAACGAACTCGAATTGCACTCAAATTGTATAATTAGTAGTTTTATTGTATTAGGATTTTTTTCTCTAGTTTGTCAGAATTTTCGGACATCCTTTATTTTTAGGCTAATTTTTTAAGTATTAGTATTATTTGGAGATTAGATTTCCTTATATTATAAAGTTTCATGTTGCAGTTAGTTTCCTTATAAATTAGGGTTTTCTTTCATTATAAATATATGCAGTACAGGAGTAGAATCATTTATTCAATTATTCAATACAATATCATATTTTCTCTGAACTTATCTCTTATTTTGTGGATTCAAAGTAGTTTATCATTCCTTGCTAACAAATATAGCTCCCTCTTACGTCAATATCAAAATCCTCATCAACATTTTTTTTTCTATTTTTGCCCTCAAATCTTAATTTATTATATACTATTTATTTTGATAATTAATATCTTTTTTTATTTTATTTTAATACTCCAACCTCTTTCCACTCTAAAAACATAAAAGATTCATTAAGTTCATATTTTCTCTGAACTTATCTCTTATTTTATGAATTCAAAGTTGTTACTTTGTGGATTCAAAGTAGTTTATTATTCTTTGTGAATAAACATACATCCCACTTATGTCAATATCAAAATCTTGATTACCATTTTTTTTTCTCCCTAAATCTTAATTTATTATATACTACTTATTTTGATAATTAATATCCCCCCCCCCCCAACACACATACAAACACACACACATATATAGAGGGTATACCACATTTTAATAATTAATATCCTTTTTTTTTTTTTTTTAACCTGGCAAACAAGAAGCCAACATTCCATTACAAGATCATCCAACATCCAAAACAAGTACACATCATGAACCAAATAGAACCACATAACATCCAAAAGCAGACAACTACATAGAAACCTAACACTAAGTTAAGACATGACCACTATTATGACGACCCTAGTTTTTAGGCCAGTGCGTCAGTGATGGACCGAAAGGATGATCCGATAACGGATCCAAAATGCGAAAGCGAAAACAGAAAACAAGACTCTAAAAAGTCAAAGTGACCTTCTATGAGGTCGTGGAACTCAATAAGAACTGATGCGGAAGCAAAAGATCGAAAATATGACAAATAAGCCCCCGAGGGTAAAATGGTCATTTTACATAGAAATGACTCCCCTAGAATGTATATTATTCCCGAGACACATCCATGACTTCTCGTGAGGTCACGGAACTCAAAAGAAAGGAGCGGAAGCGAATTACAAGGAAAACCAAACAAAAATAGTCCCACGGGCAAAATGGTCATTTCTGAAAATATAATGTCGGGTGCTACCGAGCACACCACTGGGAAGACAGCGAAAAATTAATCAAGTTGGACCCAAGAATCACTTGATTCGGAGTCCGGATGAAAGAGAAAAGTCAAAACAAAGTTTTTACGTTGCAGCAGCCGTGAATAGTAACCTGGGCAAAATACTGAAATACGTGTGCCGTTTTGAGGCACTAAACGATGTTTTCTTGAAAAACACGAAGAAGAAATCCCCCTCAAAATAATTTTTCCAAGCTGTCCATGTTGAAAGAAAATTTTATTTTTGAGGTGAAATCCCCAAAATGCCCTTACAACAGACTTGTTCAAATAGTGCAGATGCGCACAAGAAATCAGATTTGACGCGGGGTTTTCGAGTCCGAGATGACATTTTTTGGAAAAACATAAAAAAGAAACCCCCCCCCCCCCCTAAAATCGAGTTTTCTACCTGACCATGTGAAAGGAAACGAAAAAACACACTAAAAAATCCCCAAAATGCCCCTAAATCAGAACTGGACAAGAGGGCAAAAGTTGCTACAGTGACTGTCCTGATTTGAGAGCAGAAACGGGCTAGAAAATGAATTTTTATGGAAAAACACGAAAAAGAAACCCCTCCCGAAATCAAATTTTCTATTCGGCAAAGTGGACAGAAACAAAGAAAATGCACTGTAAAGTGCCCAGAATGCCCCTCCATGAAATCTGATAGTGAAGGTGAAAAAGCTGCTATATTGCAAAACTGAAAGCTGAACTTTGTGAGGGATTTCCGGTACCAAGATGACATTTTATGGAAAAAAAAACGAAAAAGAAACCCTCCCTAAAATCACGTTTTCTAAGTGACCATGTGAAGACCGGAATTTATTTCCCGAAGAAAAACCCCAAAATGCCCTAAAATCAGATTATGCAATAAAAATGTAAAATGAGTCCATAGAAGACTCAAATCACCAAGAATGAGGTTTTTCTTGAAAATGATCATGGACGTAAACGTAACTTACCTATTAGAATGCGCTACAATGGTCTATGGCTTAAAAATACTACCGATGCAAAATTCGACCCCCCTACAGCCAAAAAGGCATAAATGAATTAGAAATGGAAAATTTGAAAACTAAAATTAACAAATGATTTTAAATTACCATTTGGCCCTTAGCCACACTTCATGCATATTAAGTAGGTCCTAATGAATGTGCTCGTGCACACTTTGCATCACCCGATTTGAAAATGAACCATTAAAGGCTCGGATTTTACTATTTTAGCTCAAAATGCAAGATATGAAACTAAAGTGAAAAAATGAAAACGAAATGGTGTTTGGACCTTGGCCACACCTCATATATATTAAATGAATGCTAAATAATGAATTTCATACCCAATGCACACTCCGGTGCATAAATGACATATTAAAACGCATAGTTTTCAAAATATTCCCATTAAGGCAATTTTCAACATTTATGAATGTACATGA